TATTGTCAATCGGAAACTCAAGCATCTTTTTAATATCAACTTCAGGGTGTTTGTGTTTACAATCAGAATGTTTTTAAAATAATAATTTTGCAAATAACCAATGACAAGGTGAGTAAATTTACGAGTTCCATTTTATTGAAGCAACTGCCAATATAAAAAAGCCTGGACTTTGTTTTATCGTGAAGATTGGTTGTATATAAAGTTGAAAAGTCGTGTTTTAATGCTGTTGATTTTGGTAAAATTTTGTGACTTCAAATAGTTTCTGAGAATTCTAAGTATCTACATCTGATTTACACCATTTCTCGAATATATTGTTGCACAGTACTCCTGAAGTTTCTCCTTCACTACTGTTAATATTTTAGTGAGGGGTAAAGAATGGGGCTTGGTAGTACATTTACTGGGATCTGTTATGTATCTTTGTAAAGATTTGCACGAAGCTTCGGAATCATGCAAATTCATGCCAATACAGAAATCATACAAACTCAAGCATTTGCACAAATAACATTTTTATTTCAGATTATGACATTAAAATTAGTTTTCGTTGAGTTTTCCTCTATAAACCTTAATATCACATTTGAGAAGAACCCTAGTAATTTTGAGGTCAAAAGGGGAAAGGTCATAATTTCCTACATTCTGTCTATAAAACACATTTTGCAAAAACAATCTTAGAGGGACTTTGAGATTTTGCAATAAAAAAATTAATTTTAAAGCTCCCCATGGTCTTAAAAAATCCAAAGATTAAGCTCACAAAAATGTACTGCATATATAATTTTCAAATTTCTGCAAGATTTTGCAATCTCTTTAACTTAAAAAAAGTCTCCTTTTGTTTTAAGAGCTAATAGCTGAAAGTTTTTTTTTTCTCTTTTCCAACTTTTCTCAACAACTTTTCCAGTTCTTGCATCCTTTTTTACCTTAAGCAGGGGACATAAATTCTATGAATTTTCTTGTTTTAAATTATGTCTCGGACTTGAAATCATCACTTATTTTAAAGGTTATTGGTTTTTGACATTTGAAGAATTATTTCCACGTCTTTCTCTTAAAGTTCGATGCTGAAAGCAGATATTACAAACTCAGTGGAATGCATGTTTCAAGTGACGAATTACATTGATTGGGATTCAAAGTTACTTTGATAATTCTCAAAAAGAGATTACACAGGCGCTATTCTGAAACACAAAATAAGCAATCAGAGACGGTCTCAAGATGGGTTTTTTGTCTCTTTGGTTTCTTAATTGAATATAAAGCTAAGATTTAGAGTATTACTTCACAGTTATAGATACAATAGACAAGAATAATTGACATTTATAAGCAAGGTCTTATACTAATCGCCCATCGATGGCTAAAAAGGAGTCAGTCAGAAGAAGAAGAGATTCATAAAAATATCCTGAAAAAAAGTCCCCAAAGGACACTGATACGTGATCAATGGCGGGAAGAAAGTTTGAAGATAACAATCCCGATATGGTTAGAGAGACCATTCTCCAGGGGGAAAAGAGGTAACATTACTTATTAAGATGGCCAAATTTACATGTATAGACGGGAGATTTTTTTTTTCTTTTTTCTGTAATTGAATAAGTATTGATTGTAAGAAGAAAAAAGTAGGGCTCTGTTTATTTCGGTCATGTTTTATGGCATCTCTGTGATACTACTGTATTATAGATCTCTTTTTCTGTGTACAATATACGATTTGTTACACAGCCCAGCAGTATGGGGTAATGTAAAACTATTGTGTCTATTTCCAGGGGCACATCAATTTTTGATCTCTAATTTAGCTGGATTCTATAGATTGTGACAGTTCATAAAACATGACAGAGATGTTACAATGGCTTCGGTGAACTCTATGTAGTACAAATAATCTCACAAAGTAAAATAGGCAGTCCCGAGATTTGGTAATAATCTTGCCAGGATCTTAAATATATTTAGGATAAACGGTCATCTCAATGAAAACATTTAGATTTCAAGAGCCAAATACAAATTATTGAAGCATATTCCAGACATAACAAAATTAAGGCAGCGATATTTTTACTTTAATTCATTAGAAAGAGGCAATCCGGCAGAAATGTTTTGTTTTTATTTTAATTCATTAGATAGAGGAACCTTATCTTCTGCAGTTGTATCTTCTGAAAATCAATAAAAAATGTCGCACATATTATTTATTTTTTTTTTACTTTTCATACTCAATTATATTTGTACAATTTGAGGAATTGTACAAATAGCAAAGAAAAACATGAAAATCATCTTGATGATTTATTTGCAAAAATTTAGAATCTATCTTTAAAGCATCAGTGCATGCCCGAATACGAATAGCCATATTAACATTCTTTTTCATCTGATTTCAAATTTTCTCAATTATTTCAAAAGAAATTTAAAGTTATACAAGCAGGTTCTTTCGACTTAACAATGTTCAATATCTTAATGAATATTTGTATTGAAAAAAAATTATGAGCACATATGAAGATATAGAGCACTGACATATTGTATTACAAGTACTTAATTTTGTATTTTAGGTTTTTAGAAAGTTTCAGAAATAATATGTACATGTATGATGATATTTTGTAATTTTAGGTCCGATTAATTTGGAATTGCGAAAAATGCATTGGTTTGATATTCTCTCCATGTAGAGGACGAAACACCATATTAAGGGCATGTTTAATGCATACCTGTCAATGAAAATAACAGTGAATCACAAAATTATACAGCTACAGACACAAAGGACAACTTAATAGTAGTTACATTGTAGAATCGCAATGTCAGAGGGGAAACCAAGTCTCCATGTAATAGCTTTAAGAAACAACGACCGAGTCGCTTCTATAGAAATCGACCTCAGATGGCCGCTTCGGAAATTAAGATTGCTCCTGATATTACTAGGCATGACAGTCGAGTGGATAAAAGTACTGCTTGTCTTGCAATTCATGCTCAATATCAATGTTGTATAAAACTTCAACATTCTGAAAATGTTTATTTTAAGAATATATTTTCTTTCTTTTTTTCTGCTTTCTATAGGCGTTATACTACAAACTAGCAGCATACATGCACATTGTATAATGTTGGAATTTTTTATGTAGTTTTACATGTACATATGATATGTGGAAATAAAACAAAATAAAAGTTGTAGCTTTTAAGAACATGAAAGGCACTTTGCTGAAAACACGTCGTCATATATACCAATATACTGGCATTTAAATAAAGCAATTTAATCTCTCTCCAGAAAGATTTCCTCCCAAGTTATATCACTTAGTTCCGAGTTTCTTTTTCTGGTTTTCTCATTTTGTATATGATTTTTTTGCAGAAATAAAATAACTTGACATTCGGAAATAAAAGAACAATCGCTCAGGAGGCATTTCATAAAACCGGAAGAATGAACACAATTCTGATAGAGAAACCACATTCGCTAAGCTTTGCAAAGAAGCAAATTGCAATTTATTTCTTATCAACATATGATACGAATATGAAGTTACGCTTTCACAACAGTTAGTAATTCGATTTTCTTTTTGACCCTTTCCCGATTTGTATTTATCTTGCGTTCTTGAGAGAGTAAAGAACGTTTGGTTCAATAGATTTGTCCCTACCAAAGTCATGTCTCTGCTTTAACATGTATTTATATATTCTATGATTAATGAATTTATGACTAGGACAAGCATATACTGACATCTATTCAATATTTTTTAAAAGCACTAAATAAAAGAGACAGTCTTGGAATGAAGCCTTGTTTTTTTTCATAACGGGAAACCCGTATCCTGCAACAAGTCCTAAGGAGGATCATACAAAAAAATTATCGGGGACTCACAAATAATAGATTTTTATCACCATTCCAGAAAAAAAATCACTAATTGATAATACGATATATTTGCTTTAATGAAATATAACTGGTATTGATCTGTTCGCACCATGACGTATCATAATGCAGAACCTCTGACACGCATCAAATATCAAATATAACAAAAAAGCATAGAATATTACAATGAAATTAAAGAAGCACACTAAATAATTAAGTAAATTAATCATTAGATGTGATGTAAAGAGTATTGTTAAACAACTTTAATTATAGGATGCGATGCCATTCAAACACGACTTTTTTTACGGATCGAGTTAAAAATTTCTATGCTACTCAGACAATAGATTTGAAATATAATGCACTGCTTTCTTTCTTTTTCTTTACGAAATTTTTGCCAGAATACCTTTCATAACAATTTTGCATGTTATATGAATTTTAATTACTTTTTGTGTCGTACAAGTATTCATTCATGGAAAGATCCTTGCTTGCACGCTTACCTACATGTATTTACTTTGTTGATATGCTAAGCTGTTTTCTGTGTTACGTTACATGCAACTTGCAGTTGGAGTATTATTGCAGTCATGTCTCAATTTCTCTAATTTTCATTCATGTCAATTGCAAAGGATCAAGAAATTTCTTTGACTGAGCAAAAACGATTTTCAAGGTCAAGTCTCTGCTTTAAGAACAGATACATCTTTTAATTGCATGTTTACTCTGTAAACCTTGAAAGAACCAGGAATGAGTCTATATATATGAAAGTCTTTCATCATACTTAGAAGTCTTATTTAGTATTAGAAATAAAACCTACAAACAACATCAAAAATAAAAGAACAATGTGCTTGAAGTAAGGGAAATGTGTACTACTTAAAACATGATAAAAACTTAAACATCATGAAACTTAGAAGGGTCTCTAACATATTTTCCACTTTTGTAAAGAAAAAAAATCAAATAACGAAAAACTGTGGTTAAGACCGACCGTATTCCTTCATTCTTGATAACTTGATAGCTAAGTGATTTTTGCATCCATACAAATTTTCTTCACTACATCAAAACCTGTCTATCCGTAAAACAAAGGAATGAATCATAACAAAAAATGGCCATATCCTTGAATTAGTGTCTTTGAAGTCTGTCTGAGCGTCAGAGGGAACAAGTGGTTTGTTGAGGGGTTAAAATTCTTGTTGGATACACAAGGACATAAAATCAGTTGAAAAGGGGGCAGATGTTTACTTACCACTTGTTAAAGCTGCATAAAAGAAAATACCAGGTACCACTGCATCAACATTGTAAATCCAGCGGCGGATCCTTTCTCTTTTCCGACGTGGCATGATTGGGCTACGCCGTCCGAATACGTTCAAACATTGCCACTCCAATTGTTTTATTTTCACTTACTCTTTTCGTAGAGTTTTGTTTGATAATATACGTTCTATGTGTTTGTTCACTTTTCAAAAATAAAGGTTAATTATTAATTATTTAGTTCACATTGTATATTCCAATCTAAGGGAAAAAAATGGTTTCACCAATGAGTTCACTTGTATATTCCTAATAATTAGCTGGAGGTTTGAATATATATCTCTTCATAAGCTCGTAAGGAATGAAATAACAGAAAAGATTTCCTCACTTGGTCCAAAAATACAAAGTCACTGAGATATTTTTTAGTTAAGTTATTCTAAAGCTCTTTAAAAAAAGAAAGAAAAAAGTTTCGTTTCGCGATATACTGAATTGGAAAATATTTATGCAATATAAAAATGAGTATTTAGAATTGATATCTATTCGTAAGATTTCCAAAAAAAAATTCCAGTGAAGAATTTTGTAGTCGAAGCATGAAAACCATATGACAGATTGATCTTTTATCCCCAATCAAAGCACACCTTGTAGTAATGAGCAGACGACCAGCTGTAGATAGTTTCCCGCGCTGCCAGACACTGAATGAAATTGTAAGGTTTCCACCGTGTTAAATCCGACTTGACGAGGAGACGCTCTTCGCTCGGACTGTACAATACTTCCATGGAAAGCCGGTATTGGACATAACCGTGCGTGTGTGTGTTCCTATGCAGGATTGCGCTAGCGCACATTGGGCGAGGAAAATTAAATTAATGGTATTTACAGTGAGCTTTTTCGTGGAGTTCGATGCTTAATAAATTCTGCATACTTTGACAATATTAAGATAACTGATTACTCAGTCCAGTGGTGTTTCACTGTTACCGTGCAATTCAGTGCAATCGCATCAGATACCATACAATCTCATATATGTGATATAAAACATAATTATAATATATAAACATTTACATGTAGTCGGTCAAACATTTTGCTGAGGATACGGCAATTGACATATATTAAACTTCTTGACTTTGACTTACATTGTTGTGTAAAAATATAAATAATTCGAGTGTTTTGCACCTCCTTTCATAATACTTTTGCAAAAATAGCTCCTGATGGAATTTCTAAAACGAAAGTATATGTTTTACTTGAGAGGAATACTTTGGTTGCTTAATTCTGCTATCAGCAATGTTCATTTTCAGGGGTAGTCTCCAAATAAAAAAGTATTTGGACCTTAAGTCACAGTTTATATTAAGAAGACAAAATTATTTAAACACGAAAATTAGGAAACATAATTGATTTTCGTCGTTTAGTGAGAAATCAATTTCCTTTTAATTCCTTTGGGAATTAAGTATTTTACTCGGATAGCTTATAGTAGAAGTCTATCCTGAGGATCAACACTCGGTGTCTGACTACGTATTCGATTTGAACGATGGAAAGACATTTTAACTTAATTTACTTCCGGATGATTCGATTCTGCCGAGAGTACTTTCGAGTTCATCCCTATAAACAACTAGAACGTTATGCTCTAACAATTCTGTTAACTCTAATGATTTTATGTATTTTGATTTCCGTGCCTGTTTTATTACTTGACACTTGACTGTCATAATTCATCAGTTCTAAACAAACCTTCATAAATTAATAAAAGACAACGAAAACGTGTCACCTTAATAAGACAGCCGGGCTAAAATGTACAATTAGTACGCAATCAGCAATTTAAAAGCTGCTTCTCAATTAACACTTTAAAGCGACAAGTTACATTAATTAAGGAATGAAGCTTATATCAACTTTTGTTTTACGATATTTATCAATTTATCCTGTTCCTCAGAGCATTTTTCTTTTCTGTATGATATAATTCATATCTGTACAGGCGCAGATCCTGTTTTTTTTTTTCAGGGGGGAGGGGGCCTCATCAAGATCAATAAAAACTATCCAGCCCATAATTTTCTTGACAAGCACAAAAACCCCAAAACAAGCAAACAAACAAACAATGTCATAAACTCCTTTCTCAAACGTGAAAAACCTATTTGGGGCAGGGATGGGGTAAGGTTAACTTTTAAAGCCTCTTACATAGAAACCTATAGTACTTTTCATAGCCACTTAGCATATTCGCTTATTTGATGAGGGGTCAGCGTTTTCTGGGGGGGGGGGGGCGTCGAAGGTCATTTAAAGTAAACTTGGTTTAGTGTAAAAAAAAAAATTCTCTGCAAAATCCAAGGGGTGTGTGTGGGGGGGGGGGGGTCTGGAACTCTAGATCCGTGCATATCTATATTATTGAAAACTGCGTAATTATAGGGCAATACATGGAGTTTGATAAAATTATTTTTTACTTATTGTCTAAAATATATGAACCATATTTGTGCGACATGATACTTCCCTTAATAGATATGATGAAAATCAGATCCTTTGATCCGCTCACAAGAGATCGCTACACAAGTAGCAGTAGGTTTAAGTTCCTTTCAAAAACTTTCTATTGGGGAAAATTACCAATATCTGCTACTGGTTTCTTGTAATATATGAACAGTCGTTTGTAGATTTCTTGCTGCCTCTGATATATTTGAATTTTAAAAGTCCGACATGATGCTATAATTCTAGTTTTGCCAAATGGATGTTGCTAGACAATTGCACGGGATTCGGACTCGTACAACAATTACCTTACATATATAGTCTTAAATAGTAAAAACAGGTGTTTTGTTTTCTTCGTAACTTTTTCTAAAAAGATTCATTTCCATTTTTTTTACCACATAACAGATAGCCCATGAGCCACTGGGGGTGGTCAGTGCCATTTTGGGTGAATAAACTTTATAGTGATATTTGGTAAGGTATGCCCCTAACTAGTGAGAAAATGTATGATAGCATCAAATCTGTTGTGGCTTCAATGCTGGAGACACAGTTACTGCCCTTTATTTGCTCAAATTAGGTTTTTGGAGCTAAATATATTTGCAACCTGCAAAGTATTTGTCACACAGTTGCCAACCGTGATAGAAAGTTCTACAAGAATAACTCCGAGACACGATGAACATATTAAAAGAGCATTTACTGAGTTACTAGCCGTGATTCTAACAAAAATTGCATATTTTTACCACTTTTATTCAACAATTACATGTACTTCGAAAATTTGTATAAAGAAAAAGATAAGTACCAACACACATATACAGGGTGTCCCAAAACATATGTTACACTATTAAATTGTTATAAAAATTTTATGCCTCAAGTGATATAAATGAAATTTAATATACATAATAATGAAATTTTTCTGAATTTTTCGTCAAGCAAACATGTGTCACAGTTTCCTTATTTGTTATCAATATTTCTTGTTTAGAATAACATATGTCATTTTACAACATAGGTCCCTTTAAATTAACAGTGTTTGAACACAATTTCTGGTGTGTTTTTTTTATCAAACTTAAATGTAACATTCTAACAGTTTGGATGGTTTTCCACACTAAAACTGAATTTCACCAAACAACAGAGTTTAAGATTTTCTTTAAAAACATTGTTAAAATGGAAGTGGGCTTCATCGGAAAACCATACTTGAAGTAACTTCTGTTAATTTTTCTGGATCAGGTCTAATTAAAAGCCAATGGACAAACTCAAAATGATTTCTAATTTCTGTCTCTTTCAAATGCAGCATTAAGGAATCAATTTTAATTAAAATTTGAGTATTTTATGGACACTAGATTTATAAAAGTTGTTAATACAGAACCCTTCTAAGGGTTTTTTTGTAAAGTTTCAGTAGTAAGTTTATCAATGAGATTAATGTTCTCTATGGTACGGGCACCCTTGATCTTCTAATGCCTGAATTAAGTCATGTGTCATTTATGGTGCCTTTAACTTCAAACTCCTTCACAAATTAGTAAATTAGTATTCTGTTGAGTAATTTCATTACAGGATGTTGTTTTCCCATGGCTCTTATGACTAAAGTAGAAGATTTAGACCCATAGTAAAGTTTTACAAATTATACCAGCTGATCACATGAAGGTTCCATATTAAAAAATATGATGTTGTCATAAGGACATAATAATTACCTTAATTTTTAATAAAATTTCTCAAACGTTTGTCAGATAAAATGTATACTAATACACTTCATGTTGACAAAATATCTTTGTGAATGCTTTTGGTTTGATAAAGTTGTATATGATTAAAAGTGTAACGTATGTTTTGGGACACTCTGTACTAGTTTAGTTATTCGTCCGTCGGTGACGACGATGACCACTGTCTCATCTTCGTGGGGGAGGGGGGATGACCTGGACAGTTGGTGCAGAGGTGACTGGTCAGGCTGATCCTCGCACAAGCAGATGATGGATTTTTTCGACTAGAACCACGCCCCCTTCTTTGTAAATCTCAGCTGGGATATGGAGTATCCGCCAGGTGCTTTGCCAGTTGACAACAGACTAATTGCTTTCTGGATCTCATCCAACGTGGGAACGGCGTCCAGTGACTGGTTGATGCGAACGTCATTGAAATGTTCCGCCCACCTGTCGAGTATCTTTTCTGGCTAGGGAAGGGTGGAGCAGGCAACGTTTGGTATACCTTGTCTAATCCGCTCCTCTTGCCATGGAGGTGAGCAGTGCGTTCCTAAAGAGGGCTGCTCAGTCGCACAGGTGGCTGCCGAAGTCCAACGCTGCTCCGGTCGGTGAAGAGCAACCATATGGCCTGTGCCGCCTGTGTGCAGGTCCGCGAATAGCGACTTCCAGTGAACCCCACCTATCACTTTCAATGCTCGCCTGTCGCCACAGAGCTTTGGGGTGGATGATAGAAGGGATGGAAGATGATCAATGACTTGCGCGATGAGTTTGATTAAAATGAAGAAGGGTTGCGCGTCGCCGATCTCAATCTCGCGCCCGCGACCATCTTGATCACGTGGCAAAACAGATGTCAGGACGTCTGGAGATGGAGACAAATGCAGCGGATGACTAGGACGTGCTATATGTGCCTTGCCTTGCTCCAAGCATTCCACGGTGCTTGCTGTGTCCGCCTTCTTCTCCGTTGAACCATGACGGTTTCCTCCGCAGAGTCCGCCGGTGCACAGTCTTTACATGCGTTACAGGTAGGCAAGCCCTCAATCAACAGAGTTTTAGACCTGTCAGCGCTTTGTGTAGAGAGTGCTCTCCTTAAGGGATCTCCCTTAAGAGTGTACGGGTTCCCTCTACCCGGACTAGTGGAGGGAAGAGGCGTTAGGCCATTGCAGGTCGTGAGACACAGCCCACTGCCCACAAAGCACATATATGATTGTGCACATATGTTACTTAATTTTGATGTCAAAAAAATATATTACACGTTTAACTTAGATGAACATACAAATTAAGTGTCCATTATCACCATGGTTTAGCTTGAGACTAAATAAATACAGTGAAACATTTTACGTAAAGGCTCTACTTGAGATCTGACAAAATCACAATATCTTTGTTAAGTAAATAAAGAATACAGGCATAGGGTAAATCAAGGTAATTGTCCTTCAATTTTCATTTTAAGGACAGGGATAAAGATTTACTATTAAATCAAGTTATATATACTTGTTACTGAAATAATGTATTGCGTATTCCACTTTTATGATCCAGGGTAGAATTATATTCCTATTATAAATAGAGAATAATACATACCCTTTGCCATATCACATCCTGTATCAGCCCAAGACACCAATATCAGCCAGAGGGCCGAAGGCCCGAGGACTGATATTGGTCGAGGGCTGATACAGGATGTGATGTGGAAAAGGGTATGTATTAATATGTTTATTACATACTTAGTAATAAAATACAGCATGCATTAAGTTGAGAAGAAAATAAGTAAATAACCATGCATGGACTTCTTACATACATATACATGGTCTATTGTATCATACGATTTGGGTTTGTTTCTACCTCTATTTCAATGCACTCGATCCGTAATTTGAAAATAATCTATTACATGTATTTGTAAATTAAGATAAACCTTATTTTCAAAAATTTAAAATAAAGAGAATATGAACCCACCAAAAATTGTGTATGATCACAAATACTGTTTTTGTGGTTTAATTTACTAAGGGTATGATAGTGACGTCACAATAGCCGTATCAGCCCTGCAGGGCTGATATGGATTTGCAGGGCTGATATAGGTTATCAGCCCCGCAAATCCATATCAGCCCTGCAGGGCTGATACGGCTATTGTGACGTCAGCCATATCGCATATGCAAAAAACCTGTATTTATTACTAAGTATGTAATAATAATTTAGACGGCTCATTACCGAGCCAATATTGAATAATAACTGAACAGGGTAATAGCATGGTCTGCATTCAAAAGAATTTTCAAGAAAATATCATCCGAAATAAGATAGAAATTGCATATTGAAAAACCAACCTTCTTTCAAAGACACAGCTGAGAGAACGAACATGTTGGGTTGGTGTATATAAACAGTTGATACACCATTAAAGCCACAATCAATTGAATGCTATCAAATATTTTCTGAAGGTAGAGATGTATGTCCTTCAAAAATTAACTATGAAAATTATTCACCCGAGATGGTACCGATACCGAAAAATTCATGGCCTGGCTCATGGACTACCGGGTATTTCGCAGTGTTGTTTGACAAACAATTAATGTCCGTCCTTCTATTACACTTTTAACCAAACTTTCGACAACACATCCTTGAGTAAAGGGGATTCTGCATTGGGGCTTTTTTTCTCAAGAACCACTATGCCAGAAAAGCCCAATCTTGCGTGTAAGCTTTGTTGGGTAGTGTAGATTATAAATTATTCAAATCATGGTGAACTGCAGGCTCTTTGGTTGAAAAAAATTCCGACAGGTTTGCTTCGTAGTATAAGTTAATCAACAGAATTTTTAAGATATCCCTTCTTCTTTCTTGTACAGGAATGTTACAAAACCTAGTATTGTTCATTCTCAAAATAATTCTTTTTCAGATATTACATATATAATACATCCTTCTTTCTTTTTCTTTAATGTAAGAACGGCAACTCTTATAAATATCTATGTACACATTCCATATTTTAGAACACAGTACACTTGACCAACCGTGCTTACATTCAATCATTCCTATTGGATGATTTAACTAATGGAATTGAAAACTGACCCAAGAGATAGTTTTCAGAAAATTTATTATAAAAGAAAAATTGAAAAAAAAATGTAAAAAATTTAAATATATTAGTATTTAGTTCTTTTTCGGCTTGGGTGTATCGTATCTGCTCTTGCTTCTGTAGAAGAGTAAAAATGGAATGGTGAGAGATGGCAGGGTCATGATGGCAAAAACCAACCAATCCAACTGAAAAAAAAAAATTCAAAATTTTAAACATTTTCTAAAGCACCAGAGTACTGTTGATATGTACAACTTTTCATGTAATGCCTCCTACAGAAAAAAATCACTGGCTTTACTAACTTTACAGTATCATTCTGCTCTGTTTAAGAGAAATGATAAGAAATGATAAGAAAATGAGCTAACAGAGACTTATAATTGAAATGTTTTTTGGACAATTTCTTTGGTATCTTTTTGTTTGACTTTCCCCTTCTTTGTCATATAAGGGTGGCTTTTTCAAAAGTTTAGATACAGAAGAAATTGATGATACACATGTAAATATTTAACTTACATATACATTTATTATTGAAAATAGCTAAATACAGAAGTATTTTTTTAATTATTAATCTATTCATTTCTTATCCAAACTTATGGTCATTTTTAATATATCCTTTTTTATAATTTACAGTGTTCATTTGGTTTCTTTCCAGTGTTTTATTTTACAAATTTTATAATAAAATTGAATTATTTTTTCAAAACAGTTTGTTTGATGTTTTAGTTAAATTCCAGTTCAATATAATTACATATTCTAGTTTTAGTGCATTAAATACATTTTTGTATTTTAGTTTAATGACATTAGATTTTAGTTAAGTTGCATAAATTCTAGTTAATGAAATTGTATATTTTAATAAAATGATTATACATGTACATGTAAATTCTAGATTAAAAACATTATTAATCAGGGGAAGATGAGTACAATCCAGTACTTACAACATGAGGGGAGAATTTCCTGTCAAAGTCTTTGCTGCCAACAATGCCACCCTCTCCTGGGGCGCTTGTAAATCCAATCTAAAATCAAATCAATAACATATTACTGTGTTTTGAAACACATATAAATATAATAAACATTACCAAATTGCATCAATATGAAATCAGACACTTTCACCCTTTACATATAATGTACTTCAATTTCTGTATCTTAATTCTACATTAAATCTAGATATAAACACAGTTATTTTTTTTAGTCTGTGTCGAAAATTTTCCATAACTAGCACAGTTGGGCAGTGGCAAAATGACACCTTTCTAAAGCATAAGCACTTCTGGTCTCTGACCAGTGGAGCATAAAAGGAATCAATCAATCAATTACGGTAAATATTACATGTAGTTCAAAATTTAGACATCAACAGATCACTTCTAACTAACACATTCAATGCATCGAAGAATGCAAAAAGGTGGATGCAAGAGGATGGAAATAAACAGTACTGTTATTTAAAAAAAAAAGATGTAGAAGTGTTTAAAAAATCTTCTGAGAGAATAAAGGCAAAAAACAATTTTTTTTTCAGGAAAATCTGACAATTTTATCAATCTAATAACAGGATACAAAATCTTTGTGCCAGTGTGCCACAATTCTATCATCAATTTATTTTTCATTATTCAAATATACACAGTTCTTCAAGAGTACATACCACTTCTGTTGCCGCATTTTCGGTGGGTTTGTAAGAGACCTCGGCTGCAGTAAAGTTGAAGTAGCCAAACTGTAATGGACGGAGAACAACGGCATGGGACACGTTAGTGCCACTAAGGACATTAAGGAATAAACAGTGCTTTCTTCAAGACAAGTTCCTAGCATTATTGATTAAGTTTATTGAAATACAATGTACTCTTTTGTACTCAAAAATTGGGGGGGGGGAGGAAATATACACACAGACACAATAATCACACCTGACCAACCAAAATTTTTTTTTTATCTTACTTTTAAGATGGCCTAAAATCTGTAACAATTGTTCTGAAATAAAAATACCCAATATCAAAATAAACTTGAAGCAGACTACACATCTTAAACAACTGTTGCAATATATTACATGTTTAATATACTACTATTCTTCTGAACTGATTTTACAAATGTGATACAGCAAATCACTTTTTATTTGCGAGAACTTTATTTTCACATACTAGTAAGTAATTTAGCAAGACAATGTGCTTACGAAAATTTCATTCTTGCATAAATTAGTACTGGTATTCCTAAATATAGGACAGCAATAACCACAAATCGTGAATATTTTGTCTTCCTTATTAAGAGTAAATAACCTAAAAAATAATGAAAATTTGGTGATCTCAGTGCTCTAACTGGCAACTAATTTAGTCGCCATGGTGCCTAAAAATTTTCATTGGAGGCTAATAATTCTCTATAACTTACCAAATTGACCACCAGTTAAAATTACTGTAAGTTGGCGATCATCAAATTCTGAAACTATAAATTATTTTAACATTTTTTTTTTCTGAAGAGAAGAAAAGAATCTTTATGATTGCAATAGACCCCCTCCCCTTCCTGGGATTGACCCAGTCAGTCCGCATACATATTAACTAGCACCTAAGAAAAATTTGTCCGGTGACTAAAAATTTGCATTGGCGACTTATCTTTTTTTTAATTAGGAGCCAGATAGCGTGGAATTCTAAAGGTCACTTTGAGAGCTAGATCTACAGTACTTGGATTTGAAGTTATATTTACATGTAATAATTCAGAAGACCTTTGATAAAATTTAAAGAATAAATAATACACCTTTATTTCATTGCACTGAGAATAATAATCGTTTCTAGCTCAGAAAATTTTCAAAAATTGTTACAAAAGGATACGGTGCTATTCTTTCCCATTTCACTTTTAAGTTGCCTTTGACAACCTCAAAGTCTTGTTCAGGGAAACCCTCCTCTTTTAAGTTAACATTCAGAGCAGCACTGAAAAACAATACAAAATAATGTGATTTGTCAGTAGTTAAAACACCATGCATACAATTTTATATCAAAATTTAATCATCTACATAACATGTGTCCATAGGCTACAATATGTATTTGCACAATAAGCACTGCCAAAGTTTTTTTTTTTTAGGCAAATTGCATACAGTATGAAGGAAGTTGCAAAAATTTTTGCCCTTGGCCTACTGTGTGACAATTTTAGGAATTACAAGCTTTAAAAATGGAGATATATTTCTTGCACATGTTCATTTCCATTACAATTTAACAAGAGACATGACTTAATATTACTTTTAAAATATTTAGAACAGCTTACCTTCCCCCAATATTATAGATGGTATATTCTACAGTTAAATCTCTGCCTTCCACTAGATACTGGTTTAAAACAGTTTTAGAGGCCAAAAGTCTTGCAACATTGTCTTCTTCTGATAAACTGTTACCAGCAAAACTGATCAGCACAGCTATAATCCACAACTTCATCTGCCAAACAAAAAAGTTTATGTTACCAAATATCATTTTCTACCAGCCCAAAAGTTCAAGCTTGAAATGGCTCATACAGATAATGTACATATAGAATATTTTAGTTTACATTAATTTATATGTTTAAACAGTAAGCATAATGCAGTAATGGATTCTGATGCAGGGTGGAGGGGGTTGTTGTCAATATATGATACATCAATAAATAAAATAAAGTACAATATTTTTTTTGCTTGATAGTTTTAAGATATATGTTTAAGATTAAATTTTTATGTATACATGTATAATTATATGGGTGTTTGATTTTTAAAGTTTTGAAACTATGGATTCATCATTAAAAGCACACTGCAGACATATTAGTTTGATCAAATCCGTTTGATCAATGATTTGTAAGAAGAAAAATTTCAAAGATTTGTGGAACCATTGATCTCATGTTAGTATTTCTGATTTCTCCTTTTTTATCATGTTTATTAACTGTGCTTCTTTGGGAAAGATAATTATGAAAAGTAAAACATTCCAGACTTGTCGAAATCCATCGGTCCTGTCGGCAAGGCCGGTAAAAATTTGTCTGGACCGATAACATTTAAGAAAACATCAGTCCAGATGACCGTCTGAAAAATACTTGAGCGTAAAGCAAATTTAATAAAGGTCGGGATCGGGATGCATAGTTAAAGGTCACAGACACAGAAAAAATGGCCGCATACGCAGCGTGTTGATGACAGCCAAGTAAATTTTTTATAACAAAGTCATAAAACATGTTATTTATGTCTATGTTAAAGACTCTCTATCCCAAGAAAGGAAACTTGTTAGATTGAAGGCTATTGAAAATAATAAGGGGCATTTTGGTGCTGTTATTCATTTGACTTTCTCAGCGTCAAAATAAGGTACAAGCATCTGGTCTGACAAAAGTTTGACTGGTCTGACAGAACATTCAACTTTGTCAGACCAAATGTCTGACAGCGATTAAAAAATTTCGACAAGTCTGACATTCTCAATACTCAATACTTTGTTCAGTTAAATGAAAAGATTTTACTTTATAATCCTTGTTAAAGTCAAACGTGTTTTGATTTTAATTAAATGTTCAAGATGTGAGCTTTGCCAAATTGGGGAAAAAAGTAAACAATATGGTTAGCCATGTGAGAAATTGTGAGATTTCAGAGTTCAAAATCTCTGTTTTTTATACAAGGTAGAAAGTATGTCCACCAAAAATAAATACACGTATACATTTTCACCTGTAACCTTTTATAAACAATACAGAAACAAATATTGCAGAACAAATGCACATTTAAAATATGCAAGAAAAAATTACAAATACATCTTTAACACCGCAAGTGCACTCGTCTTAAAAAACGATGAAATTCAATTCAATCACACCTGATTAAATTATCTGGCTTAGAATCCTTTCATTCATTTTCTTTATAAAAGGAACATTTAGAATATTAAAATGAAAATAATGAACGCCACGTATGCTGCCAGGAGCTAGGCTGAAGCCTATAGAGTTTACAATATTCAAACTACAGACTCGTGTAATTGATATACTAATTCAACTGTAGTGTTCATATTTAAGATTTTTAACGGATTATGTCAGAAATTCAACAAACTGAAACATCACCATTCAGAAACTGTACCTTTCTTTCAGCACTCCTCAAGCCGGTGTCCGTAGGGGGAAGTAATCAACGTGGCGGTGTAGAAATTTTGTAACTCCGATCCCGATGAAAAGTCCGTTTGACGGAAATCTATGGAACGCCGTCACTGCCTTATAGCAGAACACTACTATTGCATTGTGTCAACCTTCCATTACATTATGTCAACTCTTTATGACATTAACCCACACTACTATTGCATTGTGTCAACAATCCATTACATTATGTCAACTCTTTATGACATTAACCCACATTACTATTGCATTGTGTCAACCGTCCATTACCACCCCTACTAATGTGTTCGGAACCTTTTATTTTTCGGTGTTCTGCAAATTATAAAACCCGATGAGTTCAGAGTAGCTCTGGCAGTGGCTCTGGCGAGAGTTAGCGAGACTTCAGCGAGATATGGTAAATTATTCACGGAAATGTGGCTAGGAAGTGACTAGCATGTGGAGGCATGGTAAACAGAAAAGTTATGTTGCGTTTCAGTTTTCACCACCCTAGAATCAGCTAATAATGTTTGTAGAAATGTAGTTCAATCAATCGATCTCTCTTACATTCATCATGTTCAAACTTAAATATTATTATTAAGTATTCTCTATAATACAGTTTTCTGCAGTCATGAATCAAAACTTCTTTTTGGACAAATATTTTTGCATGGGAACAGGGACTATATTTTTTGGCGTCAGATTAGCAAATGAGGCACCAGCATGACTTTAACTGACCAATCAGCTGAATTAGTATTGCATTGTGGGCTACTACGAATACTACAGGAATTTTACGCTTGAAAAAAAGGAAAATCGAATGGTAAATGAAAAGCATTTTTAAAAAATATTATATTTATGCTCATAATGACAAACAATTAATTTGTTAAATAAACGGTGGAAGTCTAGGTTTCTGAAAGTCATACTGCAAAAGCGATTTCCGTCTGTATTAATTCCTTTGTTGTACTATCGGTGAATACAATTGTCAGCTGGATTCCCTGGCCAAAACACGTGATCACGTAAACAAAGTTTTGTCCATTTAAATGCATAAGAGATACTGCTCGTTTTCCTTACCCTTGAAGCGCTGGTGTTATGAACTAGACACAAACTACATTTTATAAAACATTTTTTTCAGTTAACACCAAATTAAAAACGACCGTAACATCTTTCATAGTTTCTTATCTTTGTATTTTGTTCGTAAGAACATTTTTTTTTTTTTGCAGTCCATTGACCTGATCCTAGATTGACCTGAACTACGTGTTCGAAGTAAAATGTAAACATGTACTACATGTAGTATTTGGCGTAAACGTTGCTATTCATTCAACGATTGGTCAGTTGCTCGTGGTAAGATCCAATCGCAACTTCTCGGGCCTTTCCGACTAGCGGAAAAACGACCTCGAATGTACTAGGAAGACGCCATTACAACTCCCCCTTTTCACGATCTTTGAAATAAATGCATGGAGACCTTTCATCTGTGGAATATGGAGTTCAGCTCTATACAATGTAATGATATTACCTAAAATATACCATAGTAGGAACTTCTATCTCCGTTTACACTATATTTGAATAAACAGGAAGATGTATAAATTTTTAACATCCGGTGATGTTAATACATTCGAGGTTGTTTTTCCGACCTCTGACGGAAAGACCCGAGATGATGCGATTGGGTAAGATCTGCTGTGCGCATTTATAACAATAGCCATATAAGGCAAACAAAGGTTTGTCAGTGTAGATGATTATGCACATTTTTTACCAGCGAATCGGTCATTGTGAGCTCTAATTTTCGCCGAAAAGAATATAAGATATATCGTCATTTTAACACCCCCTTCTTTAGCCACCCTTTTTCTGTTGAAAATCATGAAAATCTTTCAGAAAGGTCTGGAAACATTTATTACAGGACATGTTTTCAAAAGAAACAGGCTATAGCAACACCATGTTTACTGCCAATTTTATTTATAAAAACCGGTTCTACCCTATAACCCTTGAATAAGATCAACCTAAACCACGTGTCTTGAATTTAAATCACAATAACATTAGTAGGGGTGATTACATTACGCCAACTCTTTTTGACATTAACCCACACTACTATTACGTCGTGTTAACTTTCCTTTACATCATGTCAACTCTTTATGATATTTACACATACTACAATTATATTTCGTCAGTTTGCATTTCGTTATGTTTACTTTTCATGACATCTTAGTTTTTATTAATCTGATGTAAAAAGCTCATGTCATACTGTGCGCACTCTTCTACATTATGTCGATTCACTATTACGTTATGCGAACACGGGTATCCTCGGCCTTTATATGAGCATAACGTATTTTCCGCGTTCCGCAAGCAATAAAAATGGCGGGAAAGAAAACTGTCGTAGAAGAGATTCTCAGCGATTTGGGAATGACATCTTTAATGAAAACTTTAAGCGACAAATGATTGACAATCTTGAAACGTGCAAAGCCTTAACACTGAATTAAAGTCCAAGGCCGTAACTACCATTTAGGCAAGTGAGGCAGATGCCTCTCTAAAATTCTAGAGCATTGTGAAAATTGAAAAAAAAAGAAAGAGATTTCTTTTTAACTTTAATTAATTATGTGTCTTAGTACTAAAATAATACTTTCCATTTTCAATGTTTCAATTTCTGTTAACCTGTAAATCTTCTTACCAAGTATGTCATTATTGTTTAGAACGCATGCAAAAAATAATAATAATCAAAACTTTAGTTTTAATTTGTTTGTCTGTTTCTTTTTTATTTTAATTTACTTATTTATTATTGTTTTACGCCCATTCCAAGATTTTTTCCCTCTTATTAAGATGCCACCACTTACAGTAGGTGGCTGCAAATTTTAGAGCAATACTCGGCACTCAGGGCCATTGACCAGCGATCTTTTTCTTGCAAGCATATCAATATCATACTGCAACATGGGACCTCGGTTTTTACGGTCTCTTTCGAAGGACAAGTCTCCACATCCCCGCAATGTTGATGCAAACATTCAACGTAAGGATCAATATTCCTCTGGCCCAAACGCTCTAGATAGCCACTATTCAACACGCGAACGACAATTCAAAAAGTAAAAAACATTCAAAGATTGTCTTTAATTTTGGGAAATCCCATATCCCCAGAGAACCCCCTCAGAAACTCCTATGGACTTGAGACTCGGGTGGCCTCCAGATCCATTGCCTCACTAAAACTTTGAGCCTAGTTACAGCCTTGAAGTCACGTCGAAATTCAATCGTGTTTACTTTAATGTGATAATTAAATAAATCAAATATTATGAGTCGTGCAGCAATCTTTTTTTTTTATTTTTATTTTGATTTTTTTTTTAATAAAAGTCTTAAACTTTGTAGGACATTGCATTAGTTTCACATTAAGTTTAGCTGAATTAAGTTGAAAACTTTTTTCTATAAAACTATAAAGCCTGAGAGCTTCTCCGCTTTCCGCCCTTGGTCTCCATCCATCAATCCAAGCCCGAAAATCCTATTTCGGAGAGAGGGGTCCAACTTCGATCAGTCCTATTCTTTTCCAGATATATTACATTACCCTTAGTGGACTATACTTCAACAAAAAGTGGGGGTGGGGGCTGTAGTTTCAATGAACATTACATTTTCTATAGTAAAATTATGTCTGGGAAAGAGGGGGGGGGGGTGATATTATGTGCCTGTAATTCGTCCTCATCAATCAGGACCCCCCCCCCCCCCCTTTTACCAGTCATTAAACACAGTCGTCAACATTCATTGCATACTAGATATGCAGCTTTGAGATAATGTAAATGCATGTTAACATCAGGTAATGAACTTTTGGAATGAACATGATAAAGAGTTAACACAATATAAAGATATTTTTAAATCACATAAGAAAGAGTTGACATAACGTCTATATATATCCACATCACGGAATGGAGATTTGACATAATGTAATAAAGTATTGGTACAATATAAAGATATGTTCACATTATGTTATACACTTTTTACACCACGTAATAAAGCACTGACATAAAGGTAAGGTGTGTTACCTCACATCATGATGCCCTCGCCGTAAAATAAAGATAAATCCATATCACGTAATAATGCTCTGATATAACAGAAATATACACTCTCAAAGAGGAATGGGCTTTTGACTTCATGTAATGATAAGTTTAATTATAAAACACAATTTACTTGACGTAATGCAATTTTGACCTCACATATTAAAGATATGAAATGAAGTAAAGAAACATTCATTTCACGTAATAAAGTTTTAACACAATGTAAACACATCACTTCACATAATGAATTTTTTACTTCAAGTTATGAAGTGCTGACATAATGAAAGGATGTATTTACTTCATGTAATGCAGCATTGACATGATGTTAAGATATATTTACATCATCTCATAAAAAATGGACATAACGTAAAGATATGTTCACATCACGTAATGATAAATTGACATAATAAATACATAGTCGTATGCTATAAGGCAGTGATGGCGTTCCATAGAAATCCCTTTCTTGAAAAATGGCTGTCAGTCTATGACAGCTTGTTACGAACAGTTAGAGGATTTAAAATAAAAATGTCATATTTAGTTCTGTTTCTGATGTTATTAGTTTAGAAATAAGAGATATTCATTACATGGCATAATTAACAGAACTGATAAAACGACCCCCCCCCCCAAAAGAGCAGGAATTAAAAAAGAAAGGAAACCAAACTTTAATTTTCTTTATAACACATTTTAGAAACTCCAACAACAACAGCAGCAGCAGCAAACTGTCATTGAAATATAATATTATATTATTTTTACTTAAGCATCTGCCAAAAAAAAAAAAAATGTGCATGTAGATTTGTAAAGTAAAGTAAGATAAAATTGATCTCGATCAGACCCCCCTAATGATTTTTGGGGAAGGGGGGGGGGGGGGCGGGGAGGAATTCTTTTTCGTTTCTTGTTTTTTATTTTTTTAGAATCAAAAAACAGCATAATTTGTGAGAAATATTCATAAAAAAGAAGTTATTTTCTTCAGTATGTTTTTTTTTTTACGTTAAAAAATGGTATCATTTTCTGACCTCTCTTTCTCTTAATTTACGGGATAATCATACTATGCTACAATGAATTCATTGACATCAAATTCAAAGTTCTAA